GATCTTTCACCAAATTCAAAGATATCCAAACTAGCAAGGCCAACAACTAGATGTTGTCATGAGCATAGAAGAGGAGCTCAAAACAAAAAGCAGAGGTCATAACAAAGAGTACCTCGCTTTCATTTGATGTAAGAAATGACAGTGAAGTTGTTGAATTAGATAAAAACAGCACTACAACAAGAGGGAAAGATGAAGGTAAATAAATGAAAGGAGAGAAGGGATCAGATTATAATCCACTGATCTACTAGAATAAACTGCAGGGAACAAAAAAGAAGTTAATAATCCCCATAGAGATGGAAACTCGTGCATAGGAAGAAAGGGAAACACATGATGGCCTTGGAAACCAGAAGCTATGTATCTAGAAAACATAAAGAATAATGGGCCCAACTTGCAAATAAAGTGGTCAAGACTCCCAAATGAATCAACCATTCAATTAAATTCATTAGTGAATTGGCATCCTGATCAACCAACCTAAAATGAGCAGATTCTCTGCAAAGGAGTCATAGCAGATGATGCCTCCCAGTACAGGACTAGATGATGCCAAATGTCTGTACGCTCGGGAAATGCAGCCCCAATAAGTGCAGTCTACATGAGAATTTCCTCAGAACTCAGTATAAAACAGACAAGTGTGAGCACTGAATGACAAAAAAGGCTCCTAAGACAAACCCTGTGGGATTCAATGGGTCCTCGGGTAGACAAAATGTAACAGCCAAACTCTCACAGGACTGAGGGATAGTTCTAGAAACAACTAATCATAGAGCCCCAAGATGGCTAGTTTCATAGGAGGAAGGATACCAGGAAGGGGCCCCCGAATGAAGAACTCCCTGAAACATCTGCATAAAGGAAGGGTGTCAAATGAAGTTCCTGGAGATAAAATAGAGATTATAATGTCAGAAATCAAGGTTTTCCAATAAAGGAAATCCAAGAATTAAAGAAAGAAAACTGGGTAATAGTTGAAGAAAACAGGGCAGTATGAAGAAAATACTCCAGTAAAGATACTGAGTAACAATGAATAGCCTCAGAAGGAAAGAAGGGGACAGAAATATAAGGTGAGTAAGCAAAAGACAAAGAATAGCAGATTGAGGGTAAAAGAATCAAAGTATGAGAAGAAGAAAAATCTCCAAGCTGGGAGAAAAGAAGAAATTAAAAGAATAGAAGCACTAGAAAAATGAAAAATCCAAATACAGGCAACACAGAAGGAATTTTAAGTTAAGGGAAGCCTGTTTGTTTGTTTTTAGCAAGCACAAAGTTACACAAGTATTGAAACCTGGTTTCTAGCAGTGCAAGTCTGCAGACATACCACTTTGCCACTGAGGTGCATATAAGACTGAAAGAAGATGAAGAAAATACATTTTATGAGTTAAGGAGCAAGCAATTAGCTTATCAAAGATCCAGCAGAAAATAAAAGTTGTGAAAGAACAAGTGTCACTTATCCAAGTTAGAGTATTGCCTGATCCTAATTCGAGGTGGAAGAACAAGAAACAAAGGTAGTTATGGGAACAGCTGATAAAAAATAAAGGAGACTCAACAGAAGGTACAGATGCAAGATGCCATGAGTTTTGGGTCTGGGATGAAGCAACCACATGATACAACCCTGATCACTGTCTGAGTAATTCCAGTCACCACTGACAGAAAATGAAACTCCTGCAAAGGACAGCCTATACTTCTGATACACGATACACAAAATAACATGCAATGAGATTCCCAAAAGTGAATTAATGGAGAAGTTTTTGTTTGTGTATTAAAATAGTTCTGGTACACCCACAGTGCCTAGGCACTTGAATCACTAATAGTGCTAAGAGGAGAATGAGTCTTTTGTATACAGAATGTGCTCAAGAGGAATACTGCACATGGAAGATATGTCAAGCTTCTATAGGTAGATGGTTATAGTAATAGAGAAATGGCACTGTAGACCAATGGTCCTATTTTCAAACCCCAGTCCCAGTCTTTTCACATATTAGCTTTCTTCACTTCCAAAAATGTTTATGTTTGAGTTCCTTTTCAGTAATTCATAACAGGTATTTTACCTTTAGAAAAGAATGATTAGAGGGTACCTGATAGAGGTGTTCAAAATTATAAAAGGGATGGATATGACTGATGCATCATGTTTTCATGTGTTTAATGGTAAGAGTGTTAAGACTATGTGACAAAAATTTAAGATTGGCAGGGAAGAAATTGTTTGCAAATGGAATAGATTGCCTTCAAATTTGATAGGATTGGGAGAGTTTTAGCCTCTTTCCACTCTAGATGGCAATTTGTTTCACAGATTTACCACACTCTTGAAGAAATAAACACTGCCTCAGTTCTGGATATGTCTGACCTTTCCAAATCTTCAAATTATGACCTCTTATCCTACAATTCAACATAATACAATTTTATGCAACAATCTTATCAATTCCCCTAATAATTTTCCATACTTTGATTAGATCACTTATGACCCTTCTTTTTACAAGAAAGAGCAAGTTATATATCAAACTGTATTCATATGACATTCTATCTACCCCTGGAATAATTCTCTTAGCCACTTTCTGAATCCTGTACAACTCAGTGTCATTCCTAAGATAAGCAGAAGGAACTGCATAAAATACTTCAAGTGAGGCCTAATTTACCACATTTACAAATGTTTTTTTAGAGATAGTGGCATTAGTGAAATCCACATGACGTGACACTCTTTGGTATTTCTACATATATTCAGTTGATCTCTAAAAAGGAATCAAATGGTAAGAGGTGATCTTATTGAAATTTGAGATTATCCAAGGAATCAATATGATAAAAATTTAATTTCCATGTTCTGTGTTTATCACACAACGACATAAGAAAACACAGGCTAGGCTACAATTAAGTTTTATTTTTTCTAAGAGAGTAACTAACCTATGGATTAAGTTGCCATCGGCAATAAGGGTTTATGATGGAAGTTGATAATTTCCTGAAAAATAAAAAGTGGGTTTAAATTTTTACTTTCAAAGTCAAAAACAGACTTGAAAGACCAAATACTCTGCTCTTGCACTTTTTATAAACATAAAATTATTTTACACAGTTATTTTTATCATTCATACTTTTTGATAATCTCAGAGTGAGTAAAGCTCAACCCCACTTGCATACCATGACATAGTTTCCAGAATTGTCTAGTTATTAAATTCTGAATATTTTATTCTGCATGCATCCTTAAAAACTGACCAATTTCTACAGAATGTGGTTAGGATCATCATTGGCTATCTGCAGCAAACATGCTCAACCACAGGAAATATAACTGGGGTCACCTTATATGAATGCAGAGTCTAATTTCTATCCTAGGCATTTGCCTACTTTGCTTTCATTTTCTTCGAATGCAAGAGTGTCAGTTCTGCAATTCACCATGGGATTGCAAGCTTAAAGTCAAAAGTTAATTTACATCAGGAGTTGTTACAATTTACACTATCACACTCATGGGCAGTACGCAAGTCTTTTGTTTAGGTATGCTATAAGTATTAATATTATGTCACGTAGGGAAGGGGGGGGGGGAGGAAGAAGTCCACTGTTGAGAAGAATTGGTTCCAGCTCCTATATAAACTCTCCTCAGTGACACACATACACCCTCTTTCACTTTCATATATTTCTGTAGGCCTAATCAAGTCATGACTCATAAGCTTCAGAGAATGTAATTTACAAAGGATAATGGTCTTACCTCTTACTTTACAGTTTAATTGCAGTGCTTTAAACTATTAGTACTCAAAGAAACACTCTTTTATACAATTAGAAGTTAAACTTACAAGCAATCTGACCAGCCATTCCTTTACAATTAGCAAGTATATATGATAAGGCTAAATGGGAACTAATGAACATCATGAAATGTACTCTTACTATTAGTGTGTTACCTTCAATACCTATCAGATTTAAAAACAAAGTTTTATAATAAATATTAGAAACAATACACCAGGAAATGGTACAACAGCTATATTGACCACATTTATTTTGAGGAATAAACAAACCAGCATGTGGCTTTTCACAAGATATGGTGTAGGTACTTAAATACCCATCTGTATACCTTCAAATCACTCTAGTTTATGTTAAATTATTCAAAAAATTTTGTAACTTTAAGTTCAATTTATGGAATCATTATGATAATAGAGTATTGAAGCCAATAATTACCAGTTACAATATATTATTACCCAATAATTAAAAGCCTATTAGCCTTACATCAATTGTGGGAAACGTTTAAGAAAGTCTGATAAAAGATGTTTTGCAAGGTCATTTACAAATATTGAATTTTTATTGGATAGTCAACATTTGCCTTACATTAAGCTACAAATCTTTTGACATTCTTTGAAACTGCTTATGTATATGAGGATAAAGGTGTAGAATTGGTGTATATGGATATTTAAAAACTAAAAAAGCCTTTGACAAGGTGCCACATAAAATGCTTCTAAAAGACATTATCTCTATGGGTGTGGGAGATAAGTAACTGGATACAAGAGTGGTTGGATAAAAAAAAAGCAGAGGGTTGTTATAAATGGAGTTCAGTCATACTGGATTAATGTTACAAGTTGGGTAACTCAAGGCTCAGTCTTACTCTTACGGTCTTAGCTCTTTTATAGTTTTTGATTTACATCAATGACATAAATAAAGAAATGGTCAATACATTACTTAAAGTTGCTGATTATTAGAGGTATTTGGTGTTGCTAGCTCTGAAGAGGATGCTGCTGCTTTACAAAAGGATTCAGATCATTTACTGATTTAGTGAATAAATGGCACATGATAATGCATGTGGGCTATCATAATTTGAATTATAATTTGGATATGAATATAATGAGGAGCAGCTCGAATTTATATGGAATAGGTTTGTGCAGATACATAATGAATAATAATAGTATTAGTAATACACTAAAATAAAGCTAGATCATAGATGTATTGTAACTTACAAATAAAATGTAAGTTGTAACGTATGGAGCTAGTTGTTAAGTATAATATTATATCCCACTTAATTTCTTCCTAAAAGACATAAGTGCACGATTAAACCTTACCTTTGAAAGGAGTGTGATTTGATAAATTATATTTGTGTATGGATCTCTATATTTAACCACTTGATGACATACGTAATGGCTTCAGTTAGGATTAAAATGAATAAATAGAATTTGATTTGTTTACTCGTCAAAATGTTCAGCCTCGTTCTCGCGACTACCTTGACACACCATAGAATGAAAAGTGTACTGGTGTATACCAAAAACTATTTTTAATTACAAACATTTCAGAATTGTTCCAAATTCTGTCATCGGTATTAAAAAGTTCCAAGTACAAAAAAGTAAAATCAGCTATTAAGCGAGAATTTTTTTTTATTAAAACCAAAATTTTAGAAATTAAAAATGTAATAATATATAACGAAATGTACAATATAACCTGCGGCAGACTTATGACCAGATAAACATCATCCCTGGGTCCGACTCTTGTGAATAATTTTCTCTGTTACTATTAAAGTTAGTGGTAATACCATTAATAGATAAATGTTCCCTTTATTACAAACCAGTATCATAATATAGTAGATACTTTGTTGAGAATTTTCTACCCTTTCACAACACTGATCATGCCAAATAACTTTTTAGAATACTGTTACGTCTCCGTTTGTTAATTGATTTTTCCGTAACTTCGTTCCGACGAAACTTTAACGACACAAGTTAATAAAACTAGTTTATTCTTTCCGAATATAACTTTACGATACACTTAATTTCAATATTCGCGCTAAAACAAACACTATAACGAACGAACATTAACTTCAACAATACCCTGTGACTGCAGTTCAATTACTCACTATCTACACACATTATATTACCCCGTCACGTTGTCACCCTCTTTTATATACCAGACTACCCTATATCTAGTAAATACCAGAGCATTCGCCAAAGTACAGGATAGTTCTAAAAAGTAGAGGGCGTGAGAATCACATGATCTCGATGACGCAACAATACTTTAACTTGCAACATCCATGTTCAAATTTTACTTGTGAGATTGTATAAAATAATAACGTAGGTTTCTTTTTCAGACGTCCAAATTAAATAATTTCTTTACCACACCTAATTACTATAAAAAATATTTATTGGCTTATACACCCGTTTCGACAGTTTCATAGCACGCTCCTTTAAACATGGAATGGAAATATCTATTCTGACTCTTCTGTCTTCACTCTTGAAAATTCCAAAATTCATAGCATATTACAAAGTTCTTTAATAACGAATTCTACTTTTCCTTTGTTATAATTTGTTTTACTTTAACTTATTATTCCTTCTCTCGTTTAGTTTTACTTCTAGCTAGAGTACATTTTTATCATGAAACTGATACAAGCTTTCCCTAACGGTGACATACAGATAATAATATTGTGAAAGATTATGTAAATTAGTTAGTCACAAGAGATGTAACCTGGTGGTCTAACCACTAAATAAAATCATAAACGAGTTACTTTACGTAATATAGTTAAACAAATTATTGTTGATTGTTGTTCAATATCGGTATTAATCTTGAATAACTTACTTTTGGAATACTGTATTTGTTCGGAAATACCTTTTATTTATTTTTTCCTAATCCCTTTATTTATTGAAATTAATAACATTGATATTTATTTTGTATTGTTCGTTAACGTTAGTATTAAGTCCTGGCCAGGCACGTATTTATTAATTATTTTTTTTACAAGTGATAAAATTTGTATTCCAATTGTTTGAAAGTTTGTTTTAGAATTTTGTGATTGTTAAAGTTCAATTTTTCTTTTATTTTGTTCGACCCTGGTTCTAGTAGCGTTTTGTCTTGTTCAGTTAGGATATAATGGGGCATATAAAGAAGCCACATGTATCGAAATAATTCGCTAATTCTTATCGCTCATTTCATTGTCACGAGTTCAAAAATAATTGAGACAAATTGCCCACAAATTACACTACGTTTGTTTGACTTGTTGTAAATTTCGCCCAAAGCTACAGGAGAGCTATATGTGCTAATTGACCCTAATTTGGTAGTGATAGGATAGAGGGAAGGCAGCTAGTCAACACCACCAAATGATAACTATTAGTATTGTTACGTCCCTCTTCGTTTGTTAATTTTCCGTAAAAAAATATTTCCGAAGAAACTTTAGCGATACACGCCCTTTCTTAAGTAAAACTAGTTTATTCTTTTCAATACAACTTTGCAATACATTTGATTTCCAGAGTCACGCTATAATTTAAACAAACGCTATAATTCACAACGAGCGAACGATTCACGCGCTTGACTCAA